TATCATTGATGTACGTCATTCATTTTACCTCTACAAATAATAATAATAATAAGACATGATAAGACCAAACCAACAATATCAACCATTCTGTATCACGGTCAGGCTTCGGGCCCTCTGCTGCAACATTTGCCCAGCCGTCCGCGGCTCCACCTCAAGGAAGTGCAATTCATGGGGCTCTTCCCAGTGGCGCCGCAGGTGGCTGCAAGAGTCTGATGGCACAGCTGTCGGCTCTGATCATTCAGTTCCCATAAAACAAAAATGCTTCAAAAAGCAAGAATTCGCTTCATATTCGCTACCTGTGGCACCTCAACTGCTTGAGATGCAATCACATGTCTGACACATATCATTCGTTTGATTTTCTGGAACATGGTAGCTAGTGCTGAGACCAATATCGTATGTCCACGAATCCCACTCAAGCGAGGCCCACTTATTGCTAAAAAAACCTGCAGATCTGCCAGAAATGGCCCAGTTTTGGTCAAAACCTTTGCCGCTGACTTCCTTCGGGACACTGACCAAACCATGGAAGAACCAGGAAAGTTGGAGAATGAAATGGGGTTGATCACCCTTAAAAATGCGCATTGGTCCACTTTCATGGTTTTCCTATCATGTCCACTCTTTCCATCTTTGAATCCGCAGTTGTAGTGCCACAGGGAGAGTGCAGGAGCTGGGAAGCAAAAGGGTGCAGATATTGGAGAATGCCAATATATCTGGATTGCGCTGTGCAATCCTGCAACATCTAACGCTTGTAACCCGACGCATGGTTGAAGATTAAAACAGCGATGAGAACGTGTGCCCGAGACTTATATTGACATAGACGACAAACGAGCCATTGCAATCATGCGCACCCTCTTGCCAGGCTCAATTTGTTGGTACTCCTTACTTGCACGGCTTTGGCCGTCCAGAGCCAGGCATGGGAGACACAAAGCAGTGCGAAGCACAAGGCTTTCTGTCTCTGCTTGGCCTCCAAGCCTGCTGAAATGAAGGAGCACAGAACAACAAATGCAGTTCGGGGCGATGTGCTTCCAAACTGATGTTGCCGATCTACTCATTGAATCACTCCGAGTTTTGCCAAACTAGGCTGCAGGTAAATGGACACATTTGAATTGTTGTTGCGCATTTCTGAGTGCCAATCAGGACCTGCAGCCCGCGGCAAGAGCTGTGCTTCACCTGTATGTCTGTACGCCTGTACTGGTAGCTGTTGGGCTGCTGAGTTTCAACAAGTCTGCAGGTCGCTCTACCCGTCCCAGTCTGGTTTAGCAAATACTGACCAATCATCAAAGCAACTCAACTATCCTGGGTTTCACAAAACAAAACACAAATTTATACATAATATATATATATATCTATCTATCTACCTACCTACCTATCTATCTATCTATCTATCTATCTATCTACCGATCGATCTATCAATCTATCTATCGATCGATCTATCGATCTATCTATCGATCGATCTATCGATCTATCGATCTATCAATCGATCTATCCATATAAATATCGATCCATCGATCTATCCATCTATCGATCTATCGATCTATCGATCTATCGATCTATCTATCTATCTATCTATCTAACTAATCTAGTTTTTCTTTTCTAATCTAATCTTATCTTATCTTATCTATCTATCTATCTACCTATCTATCTATCTATCTATCTAGATATCTATCTATCTATCTATCCATCCATCCATCCATCCATCCATCCACCCATCCATCGATCCATCTCTCGATCTCTCTATCTCTCTGTCTCTCGGTCTCTCTGTCTATCTATCTATCTATCTATCGATCTATCTATCTATCTATCTATCTATATATCTATCTATCTATCTATCTATCTATCTATCTACCTCTCTATCTCTCTATCTCCCTATCTGTCTATCTATCTATCTATCTACCTATCTATCTATCTAATCTAATCTAATCTAAGCTAATCTAATCCAATCTAATCTATCTATCTATCGATCTATCTATCTATCTATCTGTCTGTCTACCTCTCTATCTCTACCTCTTTATCTATCTATCTATCTATCTATCTAACTAATCTAGTTTTTCTTTTCTAATCTAATCTAATCTTATCTTATCTATCTATCTATCTATCTACCTATCTATCTATCTATCTATCTATCTACCTCTCTATCTCTACCTCTTTATCTAGCTATCTATCTATCTAATATATTTTTCTTCTCTAATCTAATCTAATCTCATCTCATCTCATCTATCTATCTATCTATATATCTATCTATCTATCTATCTATCTATCTATCCATCTATCTATCTATCTATCTCTCTATCTCTCTATCAATCTATCTCTCTATCTCTATCTATCTATCTATCTATCTAATCTAGTCTAGTCTAGTCTAGTCAAGTCTAATCTAATCTAATCTAATCTAATCTATCTATATATCTCTCTATCTATCTATCTATCTATGTATTTATCTATCTATCTATCTATCTATCTATGTATCTAGCTATCTATCTATCTATCTATCTGTCTATCTATCTGTCTATCTATCTAAATCTATCTATCTGTCTGTTAGGTTATATGTAGATATATATATATTATTTGAACAATCCTTTGCCATTGAATAAAGCCAACTTCAGCAACCGCAATTAGACAGCCATGGATTCTATGCTCGAGGATGAGCTCTGTTCAACCAGCTACCTCCTGCCAGGAGATGGCCACCGTGTCTCAACCTTTCTGAGGTAACTCCATTCGCATGACGAGCCGTCTCTACAAATGTATCAACTCTTTGGAGCAAGCACATATACTATCATATAAATATATACAGCATACTTGTATGTGTACGTACAGTATATATTATGAGTACAAGCCAGGACCACCATTTTAAACCATTTTAAACCATTTTAAACCCCAAATAGTATCATCCTTTGACAAGTCATCATATGGAGGCTGGCTGATAGCTAGTCCTCGGGAGCCGAACAATGGTTTCATCTCAGATCATTTCGTGAACCTTAGCTGTTCGTCCACTCTTTGCATCACGATTCCGCGGTCTCCTTGCCTGGTCTTTCGGAGGATAGCTGTGAATTCTGCCGTGCCATGCCTTTTTCTTCGATCAGTTCCTCCCGGATCCCGATCGGATGCTTCGAGAACATCCGACCGACTCCAGCGAGGCCCTGGGCAATGGAACTGCTTCAAACCTGGACATTCGGATCATTCTGAGCGCATCCGGAGAACATCCCGCACTGCGTCACTCCAGTCTTTGCGAATGTGCGGGTGACATGTGTGTATGCATTCGGTACGACATCATATAGACGGCATATTATAATACGTATTACGTATGAATGGATGTATGTATGCATGCATGTATGTATGTTAGTAATGTACGTGCGTATTGATATAAGACATATCTATCTATCTATCTATCTATCCATCCATCCATCCATCCATCCATCCATCCATCCATCCATCCATCCATCTATCTATCTATCTGTGTGTGTATGTAGGTACGTGTGTTGGTATACGTATGGATGTGTGTCATGTAGGTACGTACGTACGTATTTATATATATCTCTCTCTCTCTCTCTCCCTCTCTCTCTCTCTCTCTCTCCATCGCCATCCCGGAGGTACATATGGATGTATGTAATGTATTGTAATGTAGGTACGTACGCACGTGCGTATGTGTGTATGTATGTACTGTACCTAGGTACATACGCACGTATGTACGATTCCGATTCCGTCTGATTATGTACGATTATGTGCGATTATGTGCGATTATGTAATAATTACGTATGTGTCTGTGTGTGTGCGTGCGTCTGTGTGATTGTGTTTGCCTTCAGGTTGCTGAAAATTCACCCAAAGTGCCAAGTTCAAGGCTACCACTTCGAAATGGAACTGACTTGGAAGTGCTTTGCTAGCCGCGCTTCCATTCTGCTAATGCGCCCGGGAATGTCTCATGGCCAGAAAAGCTGTGTAAATGAGAGGGAGTGCTGCTTGCCGCTCCAAATTGTCACAATTTGTCGGGGTCAACCGCATTTGTCAACCGCATGTGAAAAAGTTATTCTCGTTGTGCCGAGAGGTACCGGTAGGACCAAGGAACGACGTGTTCTGTTGTGGGATACAAGGTGTATCATACCCATCTGAGCCCTAAACCATGAAGAAAAAACCCAAGTGTCTGGCTAAACACCCGTCCCAAACATGATTTATATAATTGTAGTTCAGTTCATGGCCTGAATACCCTGAATCAAACATTGTTTTCTTACACAGACTGAGGCCTGGTCATTGTCGCATTCACCCAATAAACCCTCTTAGGTCAAATCCTTACTACAGGAAAGACGGACATCTACTCATTGCAACATTGGTAAATCAGACCGACTTCAACTTGAACACTGGTGTGACTTCACGCTCTCATATGCTTTCATGCTACTCAATCATTGCATAATTCTTCAAAGTGCTTTATTGCTGCTTCATAATCGCTTTCTCAGCCGGTTCTTGGAGGAATTACCTCCCTCGGCCACTGAGGAGCGTCAAGCAGACGCGCTAAACGCCATGTTGTGGCCAGCAGAGCTTTGTGTCACGTAGACCATGATTCGGCGAAGCTTGTATGGTGTGACAACGAATTGATGCATGGGATCTCTGGTCAAAGTGCCTATTCACATTGACATCTGATACAATACAAATGCGAACTTGTTCTGAACTTGTTCTTTGTCCTTGGTAGCCACTTGCATAAAGCACATCATAGTCTGATAGTCAATTCTTGAAGTGCTACGAGTAAGAGGTGCTACAAGTTTGCCGAAGGATCCAAAAACACCTTGTGAGCTTCACCTCTGGGGGGCAAGTGCAACTGGCTGTGGCTCATCTTGACACAACATGCTCCAAAACAAGACCGCAAAGACCGGGCACCCCCTTACTCCAGCATGAAGTCCTCGTGTAGTGCCTGAGATCGATGAAAATTGCACATACTAGTAGTTGCGACCTGGAGAAATCGACATGTAGAAGACATGCACACGTTTCGTCTTTAGATTCTTTAGTGTGATTTCAATAATATGACCCCGAGTCATCCCGAGTCATCCCGAGTCATCCCAAGTCACTAGAATTTCTTCTTCATTTTCGGGCAATCGGGTGTTGAGATCCTCCGCCCGGCTGACAATAGATGGAAGCCACGCGTGGATCACCTACGGGTGGAAGGTAAAGCAAGTTGCTGACCCAGGGATGCACAAGGCGTGCACAAAGGAAAAAAATGAAGCATTCATTGTCTTGGCCATTGCATCACCCTTTATAATCAAACTCATTGGGAATTAGAGTATGCAAGCTCCTGCCTGCAACTGTGCCTGTAGTAAGGAGCAGGTTGGCTCCTGCCGGAGCAGGCACAGGGCTGTAGTTCTCGCATCTTGCTCAAACCCAGTGGCCCAGTATTCTTTGGAGTGAGGCGGGGTGGTTTAGGGCAGTGCAACATGCCCCGCCGTTGAGTGGCAACCCAGTGACACTTCCAAACCATGCCACTTGAAGAGAAATCTCATGAGATGTGCACCACCTCAGAACAATTGCCGTGTCCTCCAACAGCTTCACCGTCTTTAGGTGCAGCTCATCTTCGGGCCTAGTCCAACCAGCGTTACCATCATCACCCATACAACAGCATCTAGACAAGACCACAACACGGTTTTCCCAAACTCTTCCGACGCGGTCAATGATGGACAGTACTTGTGTTCTTGCTTTTTCTTTTTGGTGTCTGAGCGTTTTGATGTCCAGCGGCCTATCGCTTGCAGGATTGGCATGATTGAATACCAACTCATGCACTGCGTCCCACTCTGCTTCGCCATCACCTTACATACAAGCTGTGTCAAACGGTTTTGAAAGGAACCTCTGGCTTTGGTCATAGCGAGAAAGCTCCAAATAGGAACACCAGTATGTATGAGCAACAGATGTCAAAAGGATCCAAAACCAAAGCTTCTACGGGACAGGCCGCTATGTCCATTGTCCAGTATCACCTCATTCGCCTGAATTCCTGAATTCCCCACACTCCGCTGACAGTCGAGCAGCCAATACTTATCAAATTTCGCCACATTGGCCCGTAGAAGCGGTTGATGACTTTCTCCTCACTTGTGACCGTCAGTCGTAGCATTCGCTTTTGCAATGCCCCCGTTGCGGCAAGTTTCAAGGCGCATGCTTGTTCAAAAAGCGGGAAATATACTGATACTAGCATACTAGAAAGATTGGAAGATTATGGAAGGCCAGGTTGACTCGATCTGACGTCGGGAGAAATCAGGAGTCAAATATTGGCATTCAAACCAGGCGTCCATTGCTTTCATCTTCTTGGCCACTTGCCTCAGATAGATCAGATAGTGTTACCAAATGTTACCAAGGCCGTGCAACGCCGCATTTTTCTCCATGCTTCACGGTGCCAGGCTGCTGCCTTTCCAACAAGCACTTCAACTCGGTTGGATCCTGGAGGGCACGTTGCAGCTCCGTGGATGGTCATCATATGGTCGAGTCACATGGTCAACACATGGTCAACACATTCGAACTTTTCGAACTTGGATGTCTTTGGATGCAACATGAGATGATGCAACCAAGTTACATTGTTTACGTTATCATCTGCCCACATCCAATTCCCATCCCATGGCACCCCCGTCTCCTTCACGATGGCACGCACCGCTGGCCCAGAGGTGCCCAACCGAGTATTGTCTGCCTCTTCGCTGGCGTAGTGCACTGGGATCCCAAGTTCCTGGCCATCTAGAAACACCATGAAATATCATGAAAACATATGAAAACATATGAAAATGATGTTTTGTCTTGAAATGTTAATTGAAATATGCCAAACTGCTAAACAACTCAGGATGCGGTTGAAAAGGTGAAAATGCTCGATGGTCAGCGCGTGGAATCTGATCATCATCACTAACAGCTGGCCTTCCAAACCTCATACAGCTTGGGCATGAAAACCTGCAATGCATGTCCATTGTGTGAAATGACAAGCGACAGGGTACTCATCAAGATTTGGACCTGTTAAGAAGTATCCCCCGGCGCTTTCACACATGGTCAAAACCAGCCAACTTCTGTTTGCCTTTGGTTTGGGGCAACATTTTGTACGACCAGAGTAATCGAGGACCTTTGGTCCGCTCTGGCACGCTGATTTGCAGTAGCTTAGGCATTGCCTGGGTTTGGTTAGAGACGTCTGACGAAGCAGACGAAGGCTTCAAGCGGTCACCCTTGGCTGTAGTTTGGTGTCGCGGGCTGTGGCAACACAGCTGATTCCTGCCCTTGTTGGTTGATGACTCCCTTTTCCGGATTAGGCACTTGCGCCCGACCCTGCTGTGTTGTTAGCTTGTACAGTGCTTCTCTTGCCCTAATTTAGTGCATGTTTGAATATTGCTTAATGCAGTTTCTCTACGGTTGCCGCACTTGTCACAGAAGCTAGAATCTTCTCACATAGGCCATAGGGATACAAATACATCGGGATGCAAATACATCGTTGGACATGCAGTAACACAAGCCTTTTCTGAAACCTGATTTGACTCCGTGGTCCTTGGCGAAGGCTAAGTGATGCTTTGAGTACACCCCACCGCCATCCACCGCCTTCATCGATACCTCCTGCCAAGGCCGCTGAGCCAACGTCACACAGCAGACTTCGCCCAAATCCTCAGCGCCACGCAGAGCAAACACCATGTCAAAACATAACCTCGAAATCTTCCATATATATATACATATATGTATGTATGTATGTATGTATGTATCTATCTATCTATCTATCTATCTATCTGTCTATCTATGTATCTATGTACGTACGTACGTACGTACGTATGTATCTATGTATCGTATGTATCTATCTATGTATCTATGTATGTATCTATGTATGTATCTATGTATGTATCTATGTATGCATCTATGTATGTATCTATGTATGTATCTATGTATCTATGTATGCATCTATGTATGTATCTATGTATGTATCTATGTATGCATGCATGCATGCATGCATGTATGTATGTATCTATGTATGTATGTATGTATGTATGTATGTATGTATGTATGTATCTATGTATGTATGTATGTATGTATGTGTGTATGTGTGTATGTATGTGTGTATGCATGTATGTATGTGTGTATGTATGTATGTATATCATATCTATCTATTGAATCGAAATCATTCAACGCAGAACAGTTGAACTGGCATGAGTTTTGGTCTCAGTTCTGAACTTGGACAGTGAGTCAAGAGGTTGTGCTAGCCAAGGTGCTGCTGCTGTTAGTACTAGTGCTCTGGCAGTCTGGTCCATCTCCTCACATCAGCGGGCGCCGAAATGGATCAAAATGGGAAGGAAGTGATCCCGAGACCTTCCAAACAAATCAAATTCAGGAAACGTGTTTCTTTATTTCTTGTGAGTTTCTATATGTTTTCCCCCAACCAAGTTCACAATGCTGCTGCATGTTGGTTGATGTTCTTAAATTTCTGTAATTACCGCTTTTCTCTCTGCCATTCTGCTGGGACCCTGCCAGTTGCCAGAACAGATTCAAGCCCCTGATTGCGCACATCTTCGCATATTTCACTACCTGTTCTGATCATTTTGCGCAGGCAATCTCCTCCAAGGCTGCAAGGTCATCTGCACTAAGCTGCACGTCTGGCTGTTCATCCTGCCATGCCTTGCTGCAGTTTTTGAAGGCCTCAAGTCATCGGCTGATTGGTCAACAATTATTTCGAAATGGAGAAAAATGGAAAGCATTAAGGGTCAACATTTTAAGCAGTTCCAAATGTTCCAGCCAGCTTCCCACATCTACAACGTTCTACAATAGTAATTGCTCGTAAAATAGTATGTGTCTGATCTACCAGTGCATCGTATGCGTTCCTATTTCCTGTGCCTTCCTATCCTATCAACTCTACCCCTCTGTTTCTAGAGGCAGGTTTGACCGCGACATGTGCGACGGTGATATCTGGCACCTTTTTGGATTGGAGCCAAGTGGTCGGGAAGAGCGTGTCGTCCCAATCCTTGGTCCCAGCTTGCGCGTTTGGGGATGCTTTTTGAGCTGGTCACGGCGTTCTCCAGTAGCTCACCAGTCGCTCACGCAATGGTGTAGTGAAACTGCTTGGGAACAGCACTAGCAAGTCAGACTAAGGAGCTAGAATGATCAGCGTGGATTCTGGTGTCAGAAGTGGTGGAGAAAGCGATGTCGAAGAACAGCGTGAGGCTGGGCCCATGAGGGCCTCACGTTCACCTTGGATTCGCAGCTCTTCACTGGTTGGGATTTTGATGGGCTTATCAGACTACATGGCAATAGAAAACTCAAACCGTGGAAACCTGCGTGGAGAGCTGCAAAATTCATCAGATTCCCAAGCAACATGGCCAAGCTGTGCCAAGCTACTAGCTACATCCGGCGATGGGATGGTTGCTGAGGTACTAAACGAAGTGCCCTCGCTATTATCCTCGGTGCAGAGAAACTACAAACAGGACAGCAAAGTCGGAAGGTATCAAAGGAATCAGTCCCGAGAATGTTGCGGTGAAGAGAGACGGAGAGACTGGATTGAAAAGGGGGAAGCAAAGCAACTACACTATGAATTTATCAATGGTTTTTACCCGCTTTTTGAGGGTCAGCATATCCAAGCTTTGCTTGGGTACTGTTCATTCATGATTGCCCTTGCTTTGCACATGCATGTGACGGGCAATGTTTGAAGATTTTGCCACAGCTCATGGATAGCAGCGTTGGCCAATAGACTAATGCTGCATCCTAAAGGACTGTGACGCACGCACGGTAAAGAGGACACTCATGCAACGCCTACGGCCTTGAAAAATCTAAAACGCAATCTGGAAAGCATCCGCCCGAAGGTTTCAAGTCAGAACGATTTTTGATAAAACTCATCTGGTCATGATTGTGCTCATTTTTTCCATCCTGATGAAAGCGGACGAGGGTCTGATGCACAAACAGTGTTCTGGATCTTTGTCACGTCGTCGGGCTCATCTTCCAAAGTTGCCTCTGCCTCGGCGAAAGAAATGCTGATTGTGCAATGTGCAACTATCATTTTTGAGACCATCTTGCTGAAGCCTTCTGAGTGCCTGACAACCAGCTCCTGCCCCAATCATGGTGCAATTGTACAGGAAGGAGGGCTTACAGTAGAATGACCGCATGACCAGGCTCATGCGCTTTAATAGTGAATAAGGCGCAAAACTCTGCAAAACTTCTTAGGCACCAATGACTGGTGAAGGCTAGGTGCTTCATGGCAACAAAGCACCCCAGCGCCCCACTCCCGGTAGAGGTCTGATTCAGGTCGCAATAAAGCGCAGAAAATGTCCGTGCTTTACCCTCTGCATGCCACATCGCTTCTACAATGAGCAAATATATATAGCACATGCGTGTATATATATATATGCGTATGTGTGTGTGTGCGAGTAAATGACACACGAAATTACACGTGTCATAAATCATTACAGTACATAGTAGTATATACACTGCATTCATCACGTTGTACTTGGTTGTTCTTTGGCTGATCCTCTCGGTTTTCGTTGCACTCGCCTTCAGCAGGAAACCTCGTAGTCTGCTCTTGCCATCTTCGCGATAGCCGCCTTCAGACCTGTGCCGAGGCCAATTATATAGTTCACATCACGCAAAGAGAACATGCTTAGAAAACATCAACGAGTTGTAGTGAATGCCCAATGCCAAACAAGGGTTGGATTTCCGAATGTTCGTCTGTCTCCATAGTATAAACTAGCAGAAAAATGGAAGTTGTGTAATGTGTGTAATTACATAGCAATCTTGCCAGGTTTCTCTGCCATGGACTGGGTTTCAAAACCGTTGCAAACTTGATTACGCTCGACGCTCTCACAAGTGTAGCACGAGTTTCTCAGCTACTAACCTATCCATACCTATCCGACCTTTTTCCACTACCCCCGAATTCCGAAACAGCACTCTGCACCTCTGCTTACGGGCAAAACCGTATGGACCTTCAACCGGCCAGTCGCACAAATCACTGCCCAAGAACGTACAGAATAATCACGACAGTGTTGGAAATATTGCTCCCAGCATTCAGCATCATTCAAGTGCTTAGCTGCGACTGGGGCACCATCTTCGGTTTGCCTCAAGGACATGATTCATGCACATTCATTCCAACAATTCTCTCAAAACTGCATTTTGCTGTCCACGGCCCTTGCGTTGACCAAACTTCCCCCCATCGTCACATTACACAAGAATCTGCTTTGCACGCAACAAATCCTATTGCCAGCACCTGCGAAAGCTGCCCTTGAAATCTTTTACAGTATATCTCTCCCTGATTACGAGTACTAGTACAAGAAAGAAGCAAAGCCATGGAAAGCCTCCAAAGCTTGAAACCTGGTTCCCAAAATTCTGCCAAGGTTCGATCTCGGGCGTCCAGAGAATGGACAGGAATAGTTTTTCTGCAAGGACGGCCTGCAATACCTTAGCAGGTCAATCGTGTTTGAGGGTAGTCCTTTCCTTGTTTATCGAAGTCGCCACATTTTGGTTCGAAATGGTTTGACAACGTTCACGTGTCGCGTCCACAACATGACTGTAGCAATTGCAGTAGTATTCGGCCATCAAAATTGCTGTTGGGCCGAATTCCAGCAGAATAGAAGCGCTGCAGTTAAAGTGATGATAGAATCACGGGCTCATTTTTCGGCACCCGATCCGGACAGAGTGGACGAGCATCTCATCAAAATCACGAAGTAGTTCCTGCACCTTGTTCTGGAATCCTCGCAGGATGGGCAGCAACCGCAAACCCTGTTTCTAAGGCCTCCTTGGACAACCGATAACAATTGATGATTGATGACAGATAAATATTGACAGTACAATTTTCAGGATGTTTGAATTCTCTCCTTCTCTAGGTTCACACTTTGCACCAACGATCTCGTCGCCAAAGAGGGGGAAAGTCTCCTGCTGGTGTCGAGCTGCATCAAACCTTTAACAGACCGCACGTGAAAAACTATGAGACATAGCTCTGCACAAGACCACTGACTGTTGAACATTTAAGAAGGAGAAATCTTCATGTATAAAATGAGTTCTGGACAAACGTACTCATAGACTCATAGATTCATAGATCACAAAACGGACACATTGCTCCGAACAAAAAGAACAAAACTAATAAAGACACCCAGCGGGCAAGGTACTCAAACAAGAAAATATCAAGGTGATATATAGACTCTATCTGAATTGAGTGTCACACACAATTTGGTGTATTATAAAGATTATAAAGGAAAGGTTTCGCGGGACGGCCGAAGTTGCACCATGGATCCAGGACGATTAGCAAGCGGAACAGTTACTTAAGTAATTGGTGACCCTGGCCTTCTTGCACACAACTTCACCTGCGCCTCGGTCAAACGGATGTCGCATTTTGACACCCAAATCTATTAGGAAACATTTTGAACATCCCGATGAAATTGGCATAGATTTGTGAACAAGCGCAACCACCGTTTGGCTACTTACAGGCAAAATATTGCAACATGTTGACCAACATGTTGGCACTCCCCTGGGCCTGATGTTTCAGACTGCACGGAGCTGATGGTGTGAAGGTCAGAAGAAAGTCTTCGGCGGGGAGGCGGCGGAATCATTGCTGGCGGTGTCTGGTGACACTGCTACCCTTTGCCACACTTGACTTTGATACAGTGTTGTGGAGTTGAAAATGTTGGCTAATCGCTGTTATTTAGCAAGTTCGTCCTCTGACATCTATTTTAGGCCTAACAGCCAAGACCAACGCACATTCAACTGCGTGCCATTCACTAGATCAAAGCCTGTAAACTGAGCCAAGCAGCAGCAAGAATTGAGTCAACAACCATGTTGCAATGCCAACATTGATTCAGCAAATTTCAGCGAAATATAGCACAATAAAGGAACCCAACCCAAGGTCATGAGATGAGAAGGAACTAAAAATAAATTCAGTTTTATCCCTTGCAATGGCAGCACGGGCCGGGGACAAAACCTATGAATTAGCAAGGGCAACATCCTCTCACCCCACACGCCTCCACCGCATTTTTTTTGGATGGATTCATTTTGTTGACATTTCTATACACATGTAATTTGTTTCACATTTATCTATCTACCTACCTATCTATCTGTTTGTCTCTGCTTCAAATATATATATATATATATATATAATATACATATATATAACCACAAATATATATATATATAAATGTAAAAAATGTACATTTACATAATACATACATGCCATGTCGCTCTTGATGTTACCTTGTAAACTACACGTTGGTGTGCACACGTTGGATATATCGTCAAGTGAAAAGAACCTCGAAACGTCAAAACAAAATAGGAAGAAACAACTCCAAAACATCTTGACATGCAATACTGGTTGCACAACGCGTGAATGAAAAAACCTTGGATGTTTGACTCTGCACTGGACATTGATTTCATGCACTTTGTCATGCACTTGCTAAACTGTCAACCGGCAACGAACTTCCCGTATGAGTCACTTGGCCCATCCAGGCTCTGCTCATTTGGGGCGCGTCAGGATTAAATCCGGCACATGCGGACATTGCTAACATGGGCGCGCCATACTCACCATGCAGTGTTCCAATTGGGATAAAAACTGGGAGCTGTGCCGCAATCAGAATCATTGGACGATTCTGCAATGTGCGAACATCATACTTCAAGAACCAATTCACTTTGACCGCTCATTTTTCAAGTCGTTTGTTCTCGAAAACAACTGGTCCTGAACGCAATGTTTCGACTTGTTACGGTAACCATTGGTTTGCTGAACGCATTTCTCTTTGTTCGTTTCTTTGTTGGTTAAGTAAATGATGTTGCCATTTGAATTTTGTACCAACACTTGATTTTTTTTGGAGTGCATCACGCAAGAACTGTCGAGAATTCTGACAGGTTTCATTGGCTATTTGTTGAATCCTATCAATCTCCGGCTGGTGCTTGGTTTGCATGTCGTATACCAGGTCATGGGCCCTACTTCCAACACCTTTGGTATGAACTTTTTCTTGCTGCTGCAACACTTGAACTTGCGCTCGCATCGCATGGGGCTCGGCTTCTACTTGACTCCTAGCCGCACGTAGCAGCACTAGCCTCTGACCTGATTTGGGATTCACCATTCCTGGTTTCATTTACAGCAGCATGAACTTGGACAAGAATCTGAGATTCACGGGTTATCACAACATCCGGATCCACCCCAACAGTGACCTGAAGTTTTTTTTCGCAGGGTGCTGCCGGTCGGCAAACTTCCGCGCGACGAAATTTACAAATCCGCAAATACCCAACATGTGGTCAATTATCAAACAAAGTGTTGAACAAATGCTCAATTTTGGATTTTTGAAATTTCAAAGTGGGATTGTCCAAGGACTGCACTGATGACCAACCGCCTTTTTGGCAATCAAATCGCAAATTGGCAAACATCAAACGTATGTATGACTCTCAGCATGGCCCATGTGCAAGGATGACTGCACAAATCAAAAAGCGTAGCATGGCACGCAAAGCATGTTGGATTGCTGCAGACCGCAGCCCTTTTAGCGAAAAGCACAGCTGCTTCGCATGGCAGCAGAGCCACGAACCTTGCCCAAAAGGACTGCCTTGCCGAAACCATAGAGCCAGGGACATCTTGGGTGAGGCTTCCAACTGGTGTTAGCATTGCTTGGAGATCTACGTGTACTTGCTTGCTTTCATAGACCAGCTGGGCACCTTGGACTTGCCTCAATATAACTTGATTTCTAGCTTTGAGTCTGCGGGATCTCTGTACCGTGGACTTTGTCTTCTTTCTGAACATCATTGCCAAGCTTGAGGCGCTACAGGAATTTAGACTGTCAGTTTCTTGTGGCTGGACAACTTCCACCTTGTGAAGTCTGTCTTCAATTTTGAAGATCCAGGATGACGATACTGGATGCAGCAACTTTGAACACTTTGTTGCGGTAAGTGAGCAACGCAGCTCATGCCGCAGCGGAAGCCGCGAAATCTACTGCGACATCAAGCCCAACAGGAAGCAGTAGTGTTGACTGGCCAAAACTACTGTCAAAGCCGAGCAACTTTGACTACAAGAACCTGGGGGAAGAGATTCGTCACTTCAAAGCCTGGTCTTTGGCAGATGACCCATGCAATGCGTCTCGGCATTTGATTAGGGGCACGCCAAGGAACTCGCAAACTTGGAGGCAGAGCCATATGGGACCTGCAAAATGCATGGTGGAAGGAGCATGAAGTTGTATGGTTTGTTAATAGGGCTGGTGAGAGGAAGGGCCTTGCAGACTGTGAAGGCAGTGGCCAAGTCTGACGGCTACGCGAGGCTCGACAGTTGCTTTTGAGTTTGAGGCCGCCTACACGTGGTCGAGGACTTGCGCTGGTGCCTGCGATCATGACATGGCCCGAGCTCAGTATGAAAACAGCACTGCAACCACAACTACTTTGACTTGAGGATAGCTTCATGGAGGCTGAGAGAGCCGTCAGGGTGGCAGTTGTATTGAAGTGCATGTCAGGACAGCTGAGAACTCATGTCAACCTGCACTTGTTTGAAGGGATGACCTGCAGATAACTTCGACCAAGCTTTGCTCAAGTATGACAGGGCCCAAATGGGCCCAACAACGATGGTCCCACAGCGACGGAGGTTGACAAAATGCACGACAAAGGAAAAGGCAAGAAAGGTGGCAAAGATGAGAAGGTATATAAGGGATTGTCTGGCTCGTGGCAGTCAGGAAAAGGCAAGGGCAAGCAGTTTTGGAACCATGAGCCCAAAGGGAAAGGAAAAAAACAGAATGATGAAGTGCAAGACAACAGTTTTTTAACCAAAGATTGCAAAGTGCGTATGGTGGCTCAGGAAAATCGTGACGAAACTCCAGGTCATCAGCAGCAACAACAATAGCACAGGCATCAAGCAGCCTTCTTCGAGCACAACATATCGAGTTGCGCGTGTGGTGGCAGAGCCCTCTGCGATTGACTCCACGAGCGTTCCTCTCTTTGACATGAGTGACTTTGGTTGAATTTTTCCCAATGAAGATAGCATTCGTGCTATCCACTACTTCATTGGAGACGATGATTCCGGGACTAGCATGGTGGATTCAATTAGAGAACATGATTATATATATATATATATATTTTTTTTCCCTGTAGGCGTCCGGTCGGTTGGGACGGACCGCCAGCGTCGTATTGGCGCGGCAGCCCCGCCTTCCCCGTTTTAGCGGGCGAGGAGAGGGAGGCGGCTGGGGCCCGCTGGCAGCTCCCTAACACTTGGGGACACGGAGCTGGGACATGGGGTGGCTTTAGAAGACCAGCATGGTGGATTACATTAGAAAACATGATATACAGACTTTTAGGGTAACACTTGGGGACACGGACCTGGGACATGGGGCGGGTTTAGGGGACCAGCATGGTGGATTACATTAGAGAATATGATATACAGACTTTTAGGGTAACACTTGGGGACCTGGGACATGGGGCGGGTTTAGGGGACCAGCATGGTGGATTAAATTAAAGAACATGATATACAGACCTTTAGGGTAACACATGGGGACACGGACCTGGGACATGGGGTGGGTTTACGGGACCAGCATGCTGGGTTACATTACAAAACATGATATACAGACCTTTAGGTTGACACTTGGGGACACGGACCTGGGACATGGGGTGGCTTTAGGGGACCAGCATGGTGGATTACATTAGACAACATGATATACAGACTTTTAGGGTAACACATGGGGACACGGGGCTGGGACATGGGGTGGGTTTAGGGGACCAGCATGGTGGATGAGGGATGCCTTAAGGGGATACCCCCGTCAACATACCTCCGTCAACATACCTCAGAATAATTATAATATTATTCCGGCACCCGTTGAGTTCAAAAAAATAAATTATTCTAAGAACTCATGAGTTCATATGGAAAAATGGAATAATTTCCATCAAAATGATACCGGTATAGTCTATTTCTAGCCAAACGCAAGTGATCGTAAGCAGCTGCGCGCAAACGGCCGAAAACGGTTTCCCTTCTTGCAGAGCTGGGGCACAAAGACAACAATTTTCAACATACTCAGATAGGATCAAGAAGAGTCAGAATAGTATCTTTAAACAAATTTCCTCTCAGCAACCCACTGGCTGAACATGGTTTTAGTTGGTTTTGGGTGTTTTCCAGTTTCTGGGCTAGTTTGGTGGTTCTGGCCTTAGTGGGAATGAGTGGGAAAAGCAAAATATTTGGTTGTCACTGGTTTATTTTTTTTGCCAATTTCTGGATTTGTTTTGTGATTGTAGCAGCTGCCCCCTTTTGTTTTTCAGGGGTGCCAGGCATCTCCAATACCTCCAGAATAATTTTTCCCCTGGGGAAAGCCCGGGAAAAAAAAAACAACTTGGCTCTCTTCTAGAGGTTTTCCCAACTTTGCGTCCGCCCCCCTATTTCTTCCATATTCCCTTCATTTCCTTCCAAAAAACTCCCGTTGGCCATAGTGGGAATGGGTGGGAAATGTGTGGGGTTTCATTTGTTTTTTTGACAATTCTTACCAATTTCTGGGCTAATTGGGTGATTAGCTGTCCGCTTTCGTTTTTGAGGGGTACCAGGCATCTCCAATACCCCTAGAATAATTTCCCCCCTGGGGAAAGCCCACGCAATGGCACTCAACCT